CTGGGTAAATTCTGGGTAACCAGAGATTGGTCTTATTGCTGGTTAGAGTTGGGTCCATTCTCTATTACCCACTTGTGTGGCACAACTCGGCTAAACTGCGGGAACGCTGTATTGTAGCACACGGGCTGTAGGTACTTCACAGTCAATACTAACACAAGTATTGGTAACTAGCCGGTACGCTGATGACAACCCAAGCCCGTCCGCTCCGGCTCGGCCAACGCATGCTGCCTCGCTGACATTCGCCCACTGCTTGGCAAACCAGTTCAAACTCGGCCACTCCCATCTGTTGGTGGGGGGACCGGTTCGGCAAGGTAATCGTTAGCATGTGTGTCGACGTCAGCTGTCTGGTTCTCCGAGTGTGAAGCAGTACGGTGATAAGCCCTTGGCCTCAGCATGTGGAAACAAAGTCCTCGACTGATGCGGTGGAAACATGGACAAGCCCTCCTAGCCCCGCTCAGCAGAGCGTGTCTTGAGCGCAAAATCGTCGCGGCGTTGTTTATTGAGGCCCTATAGAACGGCGCTGATGGGCCACGCGACCAACTCAAGACATCTTCCATGGAAGGGAAGGGTGCAATTTTAACTTGCACGAAATTTACTCGAAGCTGACTAAGACTAAAGACGCGCAGTAAATGAACAAAGGAATGCAGCATCGTACGCTTAAGGCAGAAAATAAACGCCCATTGATCTTTGGAGCTACAACTTCCTCAATGAACAACATGTAAAACACAACCCCAAATATGTAATGCTGACGAGCGGGTATGCCTGTCGCCTGACAGTGGCGGAAACAGGTACCAGGCCGAGGGAAGCGGCAGAAACACAGTGGCGGAGACAGGTACCACGTCAAGGGAAACGGCAGAAACACAGGGGCGGGTACAGGTACCACACCGAGGGAAGCGGCAGAAACACAGTGGCGGGAACAGGTACCACGCCAAGGGAAGCGGCAGAAACAGTGGCGAAAACAGGTTCCACGCCGAGGGAAGCGGCAGAAACACAGGGGCGGAAACAGGTATCACGCCGAGGGAAGCGGCAGAAACACATGTTATTACGGTCTCACAATCTCAGTGTCAACAAACTCCATCCTGGGGACACGGGACTGATGCTGACGAGGCCGTTTCCGCTTGTGCCTTGTCTGAAGACTCATACTCACCATAGCTGATGGGTCGATATTTGCTCGAGTCGATTGAAACCGAACACGGAACGATCCAGATATATCTGGTCTCATACCTTGACCGACCAGGAGACTCCTGACAAACATGAAGCTATAGATACCGTGCTGAATTATTTAGGTAGCTACTCTGATGAAATTTGTGTATATATTAAATTGTATACGACTGTATTTTTATTTTCCAGTACTTTTGTCGACACGTCGTGACACGGGGAGCCCAACCCTGCACCTGTAGCCAGTCTCTCAAAACAGAGCTTCGTGTATTTTTGGTGTTAATTGTACATTTATGGCGCATAATCGCATAATACAGGTTCTCAAATCAACAATATACAACTTGAACTACAATCTACGACACTAAAAATACACAGACACATGTACAGTCTACGGCACAAATATACAAAAACAGTCTTGCATGAGTTTCTCAAAGCCAAGAACAAAGTTCTGACAGAGCTTAAGGTTGATAGGCCCATTTAGCAATGCAATCAACGCAAGCATTTGTGTCGTAGATTATAAAACTGACCTTAGGACTGTTACTTATTGAAAGACAAATTGCTGCAGCGGCAAGCCTAAACAGCATGCAACAGCTGCTAAAGGCATAACAGAGCATACGGCTTGAGTGTGAGAAGTAATAGTGAGTGTTCCAGCCTTTCAGACAAAAAGCCTTGGGTAGGGCATGCCAAGACCAAATATAGGGCAAAACTGCCTGGTCAAGGTGCTTTCTTTGCAAGAACATCAAAATATATCAAAATTGAGAGAAATTTGTGTGTCTGCCACAATACTTGTTATGGATACCAAACATTCTATGTTTATGCAAGTTGTATTCCAGACACTTTCAAAGTGAGATATGTGCAGCATCATTGCCTGCGCTGCCTACTCCGGTTGAAAACATTATTAGGTGCAATAGATG